TATGTGAACTGCTGTATGGAAAGTGAATTTGCTCTGTATCACAATAAAAAAAAAGGGGGGAGGGGGATTAGTGCTTGTGTGGAACCTGTACAGAGACCAAGAAGTAGTCATTCTAATGGAACAAAAAGGGGATACTACATTGCTTAAAATCAGGAAAGGTGTGCATTAGCATTGTATCCTTTCACACTTGTTCAAGCTGTATGCTCAGTAAATAATTGGAGAAGCTAGATTATATGAAGAATGCAGCATTTACGACTGGAAGAAGACTCATTATATATGCAGATGATATAACCTTGCTTGCTGAAAGTCAAGAGGATTTGAAGCATTTACTAATGAAAATCAAAGACTGCAGTATGGATTACACCTTGATGTGAAGAAAACAAAACTCCTCACAAGTCGACCAATGAGCACATTTTAAGAAACAGGGAAAATAATTTGGTTGTCAAGGGTTTTACTTTACTTGGATCCACTATCAACACCTATGGAAGCAGCAGTCAAGGAATCAAACAGCTGCACTGGGCAATCAAACTGCACTGGGCAAATCTGCTCCAAAAGACCTCTTTAACCTGTTAAAGAGCAAAGATGTCATTTTGAAGACTAAGGTGTGCCTGACTCAAGCCATGGTACTTTCAAACACCTCCTATGTATGTGAAACATGGACAATGAATATGATTGAAGAACTGATGCATTTGAATTATGGTGTTACCAAAGAATATGGACTGCCAAAAGATGAACAAATCTGTCCTAGAAGTAGAGCCAGAATGCTCCTTAGAAGTGAGGATGGTGAGACTTCATCTCACGTACTTTGGACATGTTATCAGGAGGGACCAGTCCCTGGAGAAGCATTTATCATGCTTGGTAAAGGGCCAGTGAAAAAAGACTTTCACTGAGATGTATCGACACAGTGGGCAATAATGGCTTTGAACATAGCTAGATTGTGAGGATGGCACAGAACCAGGCAGTGTTTAGCTCTGCTGTACAGTCACCAAGTCAGAATCAACTCCACAGCACCTAACAGCAATGATACTCATTCATAGATATGTAGGTTAAAATTTTTACACTTGTAATACTTACCTTTACAATGTATAATGCATTCTAGTACTTTTTGTGATGACCGTTGAACTTATTTAGCAACTATTGTTTTCTCACCTTCCGTGCAGGAGACTTCAACTTCTGGCCAATGCACTTCATGCACAGCCATCACCCACCTGTCAGTGGAGGCTTTACATGTTGCTTTGATACTGAACACACTTCAGCAGAGCTTCCAGACTCAGACAGACTAGGCAGAAAGGCCTCGGGATCAACTTCTAAAAATTAGCCAATGAAAACTTAGGGGTCACAACATTGTCCAACTTACTGGTTTTGGACATGTCATCAGGAAAGACCTGTTGCTACAGTTTGATACTATGTTTGGTGAAGTGGAGGGCCAAAGGCATGGGGGAACTTCGGTGAGATGTACTGGCACAACAGACGCAATGATGGGACTCGAGCATACTGGCGATTGTGAGGATGACATATTCTAAAAAACCAAACTCACTGCCATTGAGTCAATTCAGACTCACAGTCACCCCCACTGGGTTTCTGAAGTGGTAAATCTTTATGGAAATAGACTGCCCCATCTTCCTTCTGTGGAGCAGCTGGTGGGTTTGAACCAACATTCTGGTTAACAGTCACATGCCTTAGACACTACGCCACCAGGACTTGATATATAAGGTTGCCTTGAGTCGGAATAGACCTTAAGGCAGCTCATAATGGTTTAAGACCCAGCATTTGAAAAACGTTGATCTAGGGTATGTAGCTTCTTCATAAACATCATTAATGATTGACTGAAGAACTTGGTGAGAATATATACACAAGGCAAGAGATGTACAGACATAACTTAAAACACAGACCGTAAGATAAAGGTGACATGTAGAACCCTCAGTACTTTTAATAGTCTTCTTAGGCTTAGAGCATACATGATGAATTACTAACTCTTCTTGGGAAAACAGAAATCTCTTCTCACTTAAGCCTGTATAATAAAAAACAGAAGGCTAGAAGGTTGTGGTGTAATTATTCTTAATTGAGCTTGGCGGCAGAAAAGGATGAGGTAGCAGCTAGAGATTTTCTTAATTAGCTTTTGGCTTTGAATCTCAAACTGCCTAATGCTCTAGCCTTAAATTTTCTTTGAAGAAAGGGCAGCCAAGCCTTTCCTTCACAGGTTATAAATGAAGCATCTGAGGTAGTTTTGGGATTCCAGCAGCAGCAGTAGTGGGTCCTGTGTGAAATGATTACTGCAGACCTAAGCAGCCTGGCCCCAGCTGCCATGTGTACACTGTCTTTATAAATGAAACGAAGAGGTTCCCTACTCATTCAGGCTGTTGCGTTCCAATTAAACTTCAACTTGGCTACTTCAGCTGGTACCTACTGTCATTTTAAGTGCACCACAGAGGCCTATAGCTTAGGTGCAGTGTGAGGGATAGCCTAACCCAAGGCTGAGGAAGACAAGATAAAAAGACACCTCCTGAGTACCGTAACATATAAATCACAAGTCAGTATCAGAATGATTTATATTCTATCTGCTCCAGGAGTGGTGGTGAAAACAAAATCAACTACAATTAGGCTTAGGATTCCTGAAATGTAAATTGTTTTTAATGTACTTAAAAGCACACAGAAGTCACCTTGATTTATTAAAAAAATAAATACATAACATGACAAATTCATTCATGATCCTGAGGCTCTCACGAGGTCAAACTCTTTAATGGATGTGGCGTGTCAACGAAAACGTAAAACATAACATGATCTGTACGCATACAGAAGCAGATTCCAGTTGTAAAAGCAGACTCCTTTCAAAGGTGAGAATGAAGAGACATCAGTCTTCTCCTGCAGAAACTGGCCTACAGCTGGGTGACAAGGACAGGCTGGGCCACAGGAGCCTCTGACCACCAGCCTACAGCCAATGGAGCTGGGCAGGAAGGCACTGCAGGTTTCCAGACCACTGCAGAATGAGTGACTCCCTCTAGATCCCCCACCTCCCCATCCTCGCTGCATGAGAAGGCTCATTCCTTTATTTGTGGCTCTGTCCTACGTTTGAGAGCAGGAGACTGAGAAAGTAAGTCCATGAAATGTTTTCACTGTAACACTGAATGGAAATCACAATCCTGGCTATGGGCACTGAGCTAAGAGGGAACACGAGAACTGCACATGAGACCAGTGGGTGTCGAGGGAGCGAGCATGCACTTCTCAAGGGGACATGGACAGAAGTTTCTCCAGCTGACGTGCTCCGACTGTGATGTTTGGCTTAAAATACTTGATGACTCTGCATAAATTGGGGGATTTGGGAATCAAGTTTTCTTTCACCCCTGTAACACAGAACATAAAAAAAACCCCTAAAAGTCCAGTCGTATTAGTAAATAAAACTGTGATGAAAACCTGAAATGGTTCTGTGTAATCGCCAACAGGCTGGAATGTATCTGGTACAGTTTAATCTGCTGTTGTTTCTTTGGCTGTTCTCCAAGTAGATCTAGAAACTCCTCTGACACCCTCAATCCTATTTTCCAGAACACTTTCTTCCTGCTGTCCTACAGCTGGCTGGTTCTCCTTCCTCAGGAAAGTCATCCACAACAACCTATTAGTGAGGGTATACTTCTGAATAGAAGAGTCCTTCAGCTGAAATGGCATCTCCGAGGCCCACAGTTCGAACAGGATCTTTGCACACCAAGACTGGTGTGAAGTGAAAGGTTATTCCCTCCCTGTGCCACTCTACCACTGGCTCATTAGGGTTTAACACGATCCTAGAGCCTGCCTCCGAATGGGAGGTGGTGAACTCGCAGGGTGCCCGCAGAGACACTCGGTTGGCATCTATGGTTTCTGTTGCGCAGGCCTGTGTCCCAGCCACGCGGGCCCCGGCAGCCACAGCCGCGAGCTGGTTGGCCCAGTGTCCGTCCACGGTTGCCAGGATGTGGTAGACCAGCGTGTGGAAATGGATCCTGGTGAGGTCTGAGGCTCTGCTCTGACTCCTTCCATGTTCTTTCAAGATCCAAAAGAGTATGTCACTGACCATGCCCACGTCAGGAACACCGTTCCAGGAAGAGAGAGAAGCATGAGGGCCAGATGCTGATTGGCTGAGAAATAACAGCTCTTGTTCATTCAGCCCAAGGGAAGTCACAGCAGGAAAGACCTGCTAACAAAAAGGAAATAATAGGTCTCTCTCTGATGGACATAATCTTGATCCTAAGATATCTTAGGACACAGCCAGTGACTAAATGACAAGGAAGGCAAGCAGGAAGGCAAGCAGGAAGGCATTTTTCTTTCTTCCCATAAGACTCCTAGCCCTGAAGTCTGTGAAGAAGTGACAGATCACAGGTCACTGAGCTAATACACCTCTCACTATTTTCACCTTCCCTATTACTACAGATAAACTGGGAAGCTGAATTAACACTGTTTTATATCTTCATTATGTGCTATAAGACAAGTGGTACAAAATAGTCAATGTTTAGAGGGCAGGCATGTATGTAGTCTGTACATATTCTTAGTTTCTTTCCAGGGTTTCCTGCTTTTGCCTTTGCACACATAGCAGGTCCTCTTAACTTTGGTGGGAGAAGACTGTCAGTTCCTGAATGTCAGCAGGCATTACACCAGTAAACTGGAGAAGGTCCAGGAACATATAGTTGGGGTCAAAAGGGTTCCACGTACATAATGCCAAGAAACAGGGAGAACAGAGTTTGAGATCAGACTTAAAGCTTTTTAAGCAGGTGTGGGACAGTCAGACTGTCTGCACTATGCAGTAACAGCATGTGGAAAGGGTGTAGCAACTGGGGCTGCTGAGCCAGGGTTTTCTTAAGAGAACACACCATTCCCCCTCCACTATCTTCTTTAGCATGTCCTTCCTTACAACCAGACAAGGCTCATTCACAAAAGGTGAATGTTTCTGAAGGAACAATGACCCCTTGTGTGCGCATATATATCAATTAATGGCCTATTCCTGTGTTAATACAATAGCAGCTTCTAGTCACTGAATGTTCTGTTCCAGACACTGAGCTAAAGGCTCTACTTCATTCAACTTACTCCATCCTTGTGAGGGAAGGAGGGGATGACGCCATTTTACAGATAAGGGAACTAAGGCTCAGAAAGGTTAAGCCAATAGTTATACAGAAAAGGAAGTAAAAATGGCTCTTGGGAAAAGAAGTCAAAAGATGCTCAAGCTCAATAAGGGAAATGCAAATAAAGACTACACCGCCATACAACATCCACCTGTCAGGCTGGTAACAATGCAAGCTTTTAATCACATTCTGGTGGCAAGGCTATGAGGAAATTAACTGTTTGTAAAAGGAAGTAAAGTGATTCAATTCTCATAGAGGGCAGTCTGACAGCATCATACAAACAAATGCTTTTTATGCTCCAATACAACAACTCTACTTCTGAGAACTTACCACATACAGGCACTCACTTATGAGCAGAATAAAATTATGTACAAAGTTATTCATTGCAGTACTGTAATAGCAAGAGACAGGAAACAACCAAAATGTCTGTCAGAAATGTTCTGGTTAGCTAAGCAGAATATGGTTGTATTTTAAGCAGAAGTCTGTAGGAGACTGAGGAGACCCTTCTACCCAAGCACAGAGCAGTGCAGTCAGTATGCGAGGTGATCTTGCTGAGTGAAAAGGGATGGAAAGATGGGGAAATATTCTCATACTTCCTTATACAGGTATAAAGTAACTTCTGAGGGACAGAGATGAAACTACTAAGGCAACTACTAACACTGGTTACAGGCAGGGGAAAGGGAAGACCAGATGGGGATGCTTCATTGTGTATCTTTTCATATTTGTTGTAGGTTTTGAACTGTATGAATACACTGCTAATTTAAAAGGCTGACTAACAAAATGAAAAGTTAGGTAACTTGCCTGTGTTCAGAAAGCTAGTGTGTGGCGGAGCTGGCATCTCAGCCCAGGTCTTCAAAGCTTGTCTTAAGCTCATGCTCTTCTATTTACCCTTATCCCTGCTGCTGTCCAAAGACAGGGAGCAAATGCCTAGATGCTGGTGATGAGGGAGTGAAACTCTCTAAAGTTTCCTTTCTCTTAGCCTCTTAAAGTTCAACTGAAAGCAGCTGAGCTGGGCCTTCAGTTTTCTCCTTGGAGTTCTACTGCAAAAACCACTAACCACCACCTTCTCTATTCCAGAAAGAGGAACACATGAAAGCCACCTACAAAACCAGTTAAACTGCCATATTTCTAACCTACCATGAGATCCTGTTCCTGAGCAGTCCTGGCTCCTTACTGGGATCCCAGGAGACCTAGTCTGAGTGACATCGGTGAGCCAGTCTCACCAGAACAAACACCTGGCTCCTGTGAACAGAGGGGTTTCTCTGCAAGCTCTATGGGCTCAGGGCCAAGGGAAGGCCCCCCCGGCCTGCCCAGGCGGTTACCTGATGCACAACGCTGCTCATGAGCTCCCTGTTGGTCATACTGGCCAGCTCGAGGTGAATGGGAACACCAGTGGGGATGTCAGAAATGGAGGTGACAACCTGCAAAGAGAAGAGGACAGCACTGCTATTAGAGGGAAGTCAGAAGAGGAAGGAAAGGATCAGGTCCTGAAAGGAAATGCCTCCCTAATGTTACTGCCTTCCCTGTGTCCTCCCGAGAGCTCCAAGCAATGTGGGTCACCCACCGGCCTTTGCGGACAAGGGAGACTTAACACAAAAGGGAAGACTAGGCCCTGCAGAGACACTGGGGTTACACACTCAGGGGACAAAAATCTTCCCCTGTATGTTCCTATTACCAGCCTATTCCTAGGAACGTGAACTGAGTGGCTGGGGCTTCAGTGCTCTACGGATCTGCAGGAACCTCAGCATCGCTGATGTGAAGTGAGATGATACAGGTAACACAAAGGAGACAAACTACAGAATGCTGCAGTTTGCAGCCACGTTCAGTTTAGCACAGGATGCAGAGGCTCAGGCAAGAAGTTCTGACCTGTCCTGCTCAAGCTGTTGTCCACACCTGAACGAACACCGTGAGGTGTCTCCCTGGAGAAGGGGGATGACTTCCCAGCCAGCTGCCGAGGTACATCCTTGGGAAGCCAGGACCTAAGGCAAGGCAGCACAAGCTATAGTGGCCAAGAGAGGCGGGAACCTGGAGAAAAACCCCAGCTGAGATCCGGGGAATTCAACAGCAAGTGTGGGTTCTCAGTGCTATTACCTCCAAGAGTCTCTTCCTCTGAAGCTCCTTGCTTTGTCCCTCCATCATGTGCAATCCAGAGAGGACCACCAGGTCTGGCTGAAACTCCTCCAGGCTAGACACAAACACTTCCAGCATATTCATGGCCCCGTTGGAGAGGTCGTGAGAGAAGATGAATCGGTTGGCATGGGGAGCTTTTAACTGGTCCCACTCCTCCCCTAGAAAAGCCCAGTCAACACAATGGGAAGAAAAGTAAGAGGCTTTAAATCTCCTTGCTGCATGGGGTCTAGTAGGTGCTTCAATGGAGACTTGACTCACAGCAGGCTGGCTTCTGGTTGAGTGGAGCCTGGCTACAATTGTCTACAATAAACATGGTGTTGCATCCAGGAGGACAGGATCAGTAAAGAAACCAACCAATCAAAAACCTAAACCAAACTGAAACAGAATATGGGTGCTATATGGCTTTTTCAAGGGGCTGGTAATTAGCTCCCCTCAAGTCCCTGGAAAACTCAATTGTCCTGAATGGCCTCTGAGCTCTCAAACACAGGACGACCATGCCCTTCTTACAGAGCAGAGGCATGACTTGAAACGCCAGCACACAGTGAATACCACGTGTCCCTGCAGAGAGGACCTGTGGCCTTTTCCAAACCACACCCCACCTCACCATAGCATCCTGAGCACCCTTCCTGCAGTTGGAATCTAAACAGGCAGGAATCCCTCCTCCCTGATGCCCACTGGAGGTTTCTGGGTGCCTGACCCAGAAGGGAGGAGCACTTGGCTGCTCTAGAGGAATGGCCAAGTTCCAGTGCTACGTCCTCCCTGACACGGCCGCTGACTGCTCCAGCACGAGGTGCATTTTCCCCTCTGTGAGCATCTCCACAGCTCTCCTTTTGCATGGCTTGGTGATCGAGCCATTTTGCTTTGAGGTATCTCTTCTACTATCTTGAACTAGCATTCAAACTTCCTACTACTTGACTTTTCTCATGTTTGTGCCACATCTCCCCAAATAGATGGCTGGCTCTTTAAAAAGAACAACGTATGTCTATGATTCCTGTAATACTTGTTGCAGTCCCCTGCAGAAGGCCCACTCAGGATCTGCTCATCTGCTCCAAGCAGAGGGAGCCAGATCATCAACATAAGTGGTTGGGGAAGGGTTTAGAGTCTGCGCACAGTGATACCAGTGGCTCTCAACACTGGCCATGCATCAGAATCATCTGGGGCCCTTAATTTTAATGTGCAGGTGGCAACATGCTATGGGATCCTGATGTGCAGTTAGGTAGAAAATGACCCATCTAGAGCCCATGGCTGCCAATGCTATCATTGAGTCCTAACTCAGGAAAGGCAGTATGACAGGCAGGGTCTTCTCTGAGGGCCTTGGTGCTCAGAGGTTTTGCCACACAGAGCGTCTGATTCTTCTCCATAAAGATGTGGCAGGAAATCTTGAAACTTAATCTGCATAAGGGCTGCCTAGATCTGCTAATGCATAAGGACAATTTGTAAGGCGCTCATTACCCTGAGCACTAGGAGAGCCAGTCCCCATATCATAGAAGTGCACTCAAAGGAGAGAGAGAAAGGAAAAGGGGCAAGGGTTTGTGATCAAGGCTTACATAGCCTTTCCTCTATGTTAAAGTCTTCCCATTTACAAACTTGAACACCATACACTAGTTTTTCACTGGTTTCATATACGTTGGATATTCTTTCCGAAAGTTTCTTCCTAAGGCTGATAAACCAAAGCAGAGGGTTTCCTCCTGCTGGTTCATCTGCCAACTGCAGCCAGAAACCCACTTCCCCCATTCTGTAACAGGCCTTTCCTTGGAGTGTGTGTGTGTGTGTGCACATGTCCGTGTGCACGCAGGGCTTATTACTCTAGAGCAAGGGGAGAGGCTGCAAGAGCACATCTTCCTCTGCAGTGAGCCCAGCTTTACTGAATTTGTTCCTCTGACAAAGCTTGTATGTGAGTCATTTGTTTAAAAATCCATGAATCCAGAAATAAAGATATTACCTATTTATTAAACCTTGACATGATGCTTTTGTTTTTAAAAATACCACCTCCTTTCTAACTCTTGGTCCACGTCTTATTACTCGTCCAAAGCAAATACCTGATGGTGTTCCACTTCTGCTTCATCTGCAAAGACCCAACACATGGGCGGCCTCCTCTGTGAAGTTCTCCCTGGCTCTGCCTCCCCCAAGCCCACTTGATTACTTCCTTCTCAGGCCACCACTGTGCCCTATTAGAGGACTTGGCATATGACTTTGCAATATTTTGTTCAAGTGTCTGTTTCCTACCTAGAACTGTGAGCTAAGAGTAGGACCCACATCTTTGTCTATCACTATACTCCTACTGCCTCACATTGCACCTGGCATATAGCCATGTAAATGAATTAGCAAAAAGGACAAGTGAATAAAAGAACAGACTGATGACCTAAATGCCCAGGAAAATGAATAATATGGTTTTGAACTCCAAATCCAGAATTCCCCAAATCAACAAGAATTTGTTCAACAAGAAAAATATATTACATTAGTATTCCCCATAGAGCAAGACTTGGGACAGAGCATAAAATAATGAAGCTGCTTAAGAAAGCTTAGCCTAGGAGAAAAGAGTCACTTGGTATTAAAAATAAATGGATTTCATCACAGGAAAGATGACAGAGGCAGAAAGAAACAGACTTCAGCAAGGCGAGGACAAGGAGGAATGTAGGGAGGTGCTCATGGCTATTTCCACAGGACATGGGGCTGGTACAGGGGCCCAAAGGCAGAAGGATCAACAGCACCCAGACAGGACAAGCCTCTCAGCAGTAGTTAATGCCCCTCTTTTCTCACAAAGCTTTTTATTTATTTCTGCAAGCAATGACTTCCCTCAATTTACCATCCTGTACTTCTGTCAGTAAGCCAACAAAACTACTTTGCAGTGACTCACTGGATTCTCAGCCCAAAGCCTGAAAACAAGCATCTCTGGGGAGGTCTGGTAGGGAAAAAAGAGAGAGAAAAAAATTCTGACAAATCCCAACTAGGTTAGAGAGAAGCTGGGGATGGATTTCTGTTGAGAGAGCTGCCTTGAGCACTACTCCCACCTAATCCATGCCAGTTCTGGACTAGGCAAAAATAACTTCACATATGGTTTAATGGAGGAGTTTGCTGCTTTGTACTAAGAAAATAAGGCATAAAGAGAGAAACTGAAGTGTGCACTGACACTCAAGGCAGAAGACACTCAAGAGAAGCTCTGCACCACACAAGGTACAGCTGTCAAATATAACAGCAAAGCCTCACTGAGCAAAGGAGTCTCTTCACTCTGTAGTCACTATGGAAAATGACAGAAACCAAGAACTTGCAAGGCTGCCAGTTCCTACCGTGGGCACCCACTGAAGGGAGATGAATCTGGAATGGTATAGCAGCAGCACCTCAGAGGCACAGCTCCAGTGATTCCGATTCCAGTCACGTTTGTAATTTCATTTAAGAAGTTCAAAATACTTAAACACACTAACCTCTTAATCTTTACCACAATCTTCAGGGAGTAAGAAATACGCTAAATCCCATTTGGGAAGACTAAACTGAGAGAAACTTGTGCATCATAAATGTGAATTGCCTATTCCAACATTCTGCCACTAATTTTCAGATCTGGCCCTTCCTAGATTCCTGACCGACTCTAGTAAGCACCTAAAAGAGAACCAGAATAAAAACAATTCTTATGTGTATTTGGAGGAAGGAATAATTTTAAAGAGTACTGTATTTCATATCTTAATTAAAGTTAATGACTCTAGTAGGTGAGGTTCTCTTAACTGTCTGACTTGGAAGCAGCACAATGAAACTTATTAAAATAAGTACTACTTTGAGGTACCAATTAGTCTGTTTAGATACTTGAGTCTTTAATTTGAATTAATAACATGCTGAATCAGAAATTCAAGAGTCTGAGAAAGAAAACAACAACAAAAAAAGCACCCAAACTCACTGCCACTGAGTGGATCCCGACTCATACCCCTCCTTGGGTTTCTGAGGTGGTATCTTCTCTACGGAAGTAGATTGCTCAATTTGCCTTCCGAGGAGTGGCTGGTGGGTTTGAACTGCCAGCCTTTTGGTTAGCAGTCAAATGCCTTAGGCACTATGCTACCAGAGCTTCCAGAGAGAAAGATATAACAGGAAATACACAGACTCAAAACTTGTTTCCAGGTATCTAAGATTATCTCAGAAAGCAGGTCTCTGGTTTGTTTAACACATAAGATGTACTAAGGAGGGCGAGCTGGGATGGGGTGGATTTGGATTTATAAACACAGGAACATAATATAAGGGGAAATAATGTAAGTGATGTTAAATACACAAAACGCTTCCACACACACACCTAAGGTAAAACAAAATGCTTGAAAGGGAGTTTGCCAGAGGCCTAGACTCAATCCTAAACCATTTGGAACACTTGGCCAGAAAGGCCCACAGGGCAGAATCCAGCAAAGAGCTTAACAGATGTTACCCATCCTTCTTTTTACTTTGTAATAATGAAAAACTTTAGGCATGTGTACTTAAAACATTTTCTAGTTTTATTTAAAATGCCTGCTACCCTACAGCCTGATTTATCTTGGGTTCAGAACAATTTTATTTGTTGTTGTTATGTGCCGTCGAGTCAAACCCGACTCATAGCGACCCCTCCTTGGGTTTCTGAGGCAGTATCACTACGGAAGTAGGATTGCCCAACCTTCCTTCCTTCCGAGGAGTGGCTGGTGAGTTTGAACCGCCAGCCGTCTGGTTAGCAGGCAAGTATCTTAGCCACTATGCTACCAGAGCTCCAATTTTATTTGTAGACCTGGGAATTATCTTCAATGTCGGAATACTCTCTCTTTCCCCTGAGACAATGGCCAGCATTGGCTCAGTAGAACTAGTGGGTCAGGAAACGTTTTGGTATGGCAAGGACAGGATCCTGCCCATTTACAAACACAATTTCTGAAGTCATGTCCCAATCTATGGCAATAGTCCTCTGACCAGCCTTGAAGTCATTACTTACTCATTTTCCTTACCTGCCTGATATTCCAAAATGAGGTGGAACTCGTCTACTTCCTGTAATGATTCTGGTGGAACAAATACCTTGTCATCAAGAAGTTCATGCAGCTTTGGACCAACTGGACCACAAAGAAGAACCTGGAGACAAGCAACATGAAGAGTATGAGGAAACCTATGAGGAAACCTCATAGACTCATCAAATTTGAATAGTACCTAGTAAGGTACGTTCAGGTCAATTCCATTCAACAAAATGTTGGAACTCAAATCTCATTCTGAAAGCTCTTGGCTTGGAGGTATGGAGTATGCAGTGACTACCAGGGGTTAGGCCTCTGGAGAATATGGCCACAATATACCCAGAAATGAAAGATGGATAAAAAGAGCCAGAGGCACAGATGTTAGGCAGATGCCAGCAGCAGTATCCCAAACTTTCCAAAATCTTTTTCTTCAGCACCAACTTGGCCTTCCCCTGGTGTTCTTTCTAGAAGCCATTTCATATTCTGCTGCTATTCCTCAGTTCCAGTAGCTGCTGTGTCTGCTATGCCAGCTGCGGACCATACTCAAGGCCAAGGCAACACATTCAAAACCACCCAACAAAGAGAGTTTGGACCAGGATTTAAAGGAAAGGCCCCAGAGATGATCAACACTGTTTCAGATTTAATATTCTCCACACAGAAGCTTCAAAAGGCATTTTTATTTGTTAATTAACTGCCTGCTTGTGTACTGCTTTGTACCAAGGCATGTTTGCATATCTTACTAAGAAATCCCAGCTTCTGGGTAAAAATATACCCCACTCCCTTTGCTCTGTTCTCTTTCCGCCTTGACAAATACACATTATTTGCCAATTCTGAAAGTTTTGCCCTACCACTTTATTTCTTTTCTCTAATTCTTGGCTAGAACTTTAGCTTCCAAGATGGAGTAACAGGGGCCTGAAACAACCACAACAAAAACCAAAATACAAGAAACAATAGTTTTCAAAATACTTGGACATCGGGCAGTGAAGGACATTGATCCCTAAGAAACAGAAAAATCTGAGGTAAGCCTGCAAATTCCTCAGTATATTATCTTAAAAGAGTTCCCAGACATACAAAAGCTGAAATAATTCATCACCATCAGACCTGAACTACAAGAAAGGATAAAGGAAGTGCTTCAGGCAAAAGGTAAATGACATCAGATAGATTTAAACAAAGGAATGAAGAGCACCCGGAATGGTAACTCTGGGTAAGTCCACAGGATTTTTTTTTACATTTAAATCTCTTTAAAAGATAATGAACTATTAAATGAAAATATTAACAATGGAGTGTGAAGTTTGTAACATCTGTAGATGGAAAACATATGGCAACAGTAGCATAAAAACAGGAGGGAAAAATAGAGGTACAAAACCCAAAAACCTGTTGCCATTGAGTCGATTCTTACTTACAGTGACCCTACAGGACAGAGTGGAACTGTCCCATAGGATTTCCAAGGCTGTAAACCATTACGGAAGTCGACTGCTACATCTTTGCTCCCAAAGAGCGGCTGGCAGTTTCAAACTGCCAACCTTTAGTTAGCAGATGAGCACTTTAACCACTGTGCCACCAGGACACCTTTCAATGGAGGTATACTATTCTTACATTATATACTGTACTATAATATCACTTAGGAGCTCTGGTAGCATAGTGCCTAAGGCACTTGACTGCTAACCAGAAGGCTAGTGGTTCAAACCCACCAGCCATTCCTCGGAAGAAAGGTTGGGCAATTTACTTCCATAGTGATACTGCCTCGGAAACCCAAGGAGGGGTCGCTATGAGTTGGGGCCGACTCGACAGCATATAACAACAACATAATATCACTTGAAATATGACTGATAAGTTAAAGCAACCACTATTGTAACAAAAAAAGAATTATAGCTAATAAGTCAAACTGAAAAACTAAACCCACTCATATCAATTCCAACTCATAGTGATTCCGATTCATAGCAACCCTTTAGGACAGAGTAGAATTGCCCCATAGGGTTTCCAAGGCATCTTTCTCTTGTGGAGAGGCTAGTGCGTTTGAACTGATGACCTTTAGGTTAGCGACCAAATGCTTTAACTACTACATCACCAGAGCTCCTTGCTAATAAGCCAGAGAAAAGAAAACGCAATCACAAAAAATACTCAATCCAAAAGACGGCAGAAAAAGGGAAGAAAAAAGAGATGGGGCAAATAGAAAACAAACAAGATGTCAGATTTAAACCTGATCATATCAATGTTGTGTTGTTGTTAGGTGCCGTCGAGTTGGACCCGATTCATAGCAACCCCTCCTTGGGTTTCCAAGGCAGTATCATTACAGAAGTAGATTGCCCCCATCTTCCTTCCGAGGAGTGGCTGGTGGGTAACCACCATCAAATGCAAATGGTCTAAACGTTCCAATCAAAAGGCCAACATTGTCATACTGGATAAAAAAGCAAGCTCCAGTGATATGTTACTGTAAGAAATACATTGTAAATATAAAGACACAAATAAGTTAAAAGCAAAAGGATGAAAAAGGTATACCAGACTAACACTAATTAAAAGAAAGTTGGAACGCCTATTTTAATCAAAATACATTTCACAACAAAGAGTATTATGAAATGATTTTATCACTGATCATGATAAAGGGGTCAATTCATAAAGGGAATGTAACATTCCTAAACATGTATGCACCTAATAACAGAGCTTCAAAATACATGAAGCAAAAAGTTGTACAACTGCAAAGGAAATAGAGAAGTCCACATTTATAGTTGGAAATGTCAATATCCTCTCTCATAATTGAGAGAACAAGTAGAAAGAAAATCAATAAGAAGACATTAGACTTGAAGACTATCAACTGACTTGGCCTAAGTTATGTTTATAGAACACTCTACCCAACAACAGCAGAATACACATTCTTTCCAAGTGCACATGGAACTTCAATGAGATATACCATACTCTGGGCCATAAAACAAGCCTCAATAAATTTAATAGAAGTCAAGTCATACAAAGTATTTTCTCTGACCACAACGGAACTAAAATAGAAATCAGTAACAGAAATTTATCTGGAAAACCCCCAAATATTTAGAATCTAAATAACACACTTCTACAAATCTCACAGACCAAAGAAGAAATCAAAGGGAAATCAGAAAATATTTTGAATTGAATGAAAATAAATACACAATGTATGACAATCTATGGGATACAGCTAAAGCAGTGCTTAATGGGAAATTTATAGCACTAAACACCTCTATCAGAAAACAAGAAAGGTCTTAAGAACCTAGAAAAAGAAAATCAAGTTATACTCAAAGTAAGCAGAAATCAATAAAGTAGGAAAAAAAATACAGAAAAATCAATGAAACCACAAATTCTGTATTTACTGAAAAGCTCAATAAAATTGATAAACTGCCAGCCAGACTGATTAGGGGAAAAGAAAGGATATAAATTATTAATATCAGGAATGAGAGCGATAAATGACCACAGATTCTACAGGTATTAAAAGGATAAGGGAATATGACAACCAACTCTGTGCCAATAAATTAAACGACTTGGATGAAATGGCAAATTCCGTGAAAGACAAACTGCCAAAGTTCTCTCAAGAAGAAATAGAAAATCAGAATTCCCCTATATCTATTAAAGAAATCAAAAAACGTTTTTGTTAAAAACCTTCTCACACAGAAAACTCCAGGCCCAGAGCACTTTACTGGTGAATTCTACAGCATCAAGGCAGGCATAATATCAATGATACAAACTTTTTAAAAACTTGTAGAAGAAACACTTCCCAATTAATTCTATGAGGCCAGTATTATCCTGATACCAAAACCAGAAAAAGACATTACAAGAAAAGAAAATTACGGACCAATATCCCTCATGACTACAGATGTAAAAATTTTGGCAAACTGAATCTAGTCATATATAAAAGGACAATAGGTCAGATCTTAGTGGGGTTTACCCCAGGGATTCAAGGCTGGTTTAACACTTGTAAACCAATGTACTTTGCCATATTCCAAACTGTAAAAGGAAAACCATATAGTCATCTTAATTGATGCAAAAATAGCATTTGATAATAATCCAATATCCCTTCCTAATTCATAGCTAAATTCCACAAATACATTTTCTAAAGGTGCTTCTGTGTTTTCTCCACTGCTCTCCTACTGTAATCTGGGTTCTATTCCACCATTTCATTAAATCTGACTTTATAATATTCACCTATGCCTATTTATGAACAATATAGCACAGTCATTAAGAATATGGACTTCAGCAAGACTGCTTGGGTTCAAATCTCACCTTTACCCCTTCCTGGGTATGTGACTTTGAGTAGTTTTACCTTCTCCATGTCTCATTTTTCCTATCTGTAAAATGGGGATAATAATAGGACTGCCTTTACAGGATTAACCAAGTTAATATATATGTCCAGCACTTAGAACTATACCTGGCACACAGAACTACGTAAGTGTTAGCTACTACTACTACTACCACCTCTGGAAAATATGTAGTTCTTAACCTCTGGTATTTCTTTCATTATTTTTTTTAAAGAAGTTTATTTCTGATTGGCTTATATAATTTATTACTGAAATGCTGTCATTATTTCAACTGATCAACAAGAATGGCCTGATTTATAGGAAAACTAGGTTAAGTTTCAGTGAAGTCTTAGGGGTGTTGTCCACCACCTTCCACCACGACTCTCCTTCTGGCCATCCCAGCCATATTGACCTATCTGCTTTGGAGCATTAATAGCACCTAGATATGCCTAAGAAGAAAGGAGATCTACTTCTAAAATATCACAGCCATTGAAAATCCTATGGAGTTCTACTCTAATACATATGAACTTCTGGTATTTCTGAGATGATCATTCTGTCAACCCTGAGAAGCATTTCAGCATACTAAACTGAACCTCTTTGAGGGAGCAGTATATAGTGGTAAAAAGTCATGGAGACACTGGTATCTGAATCCTGGTTCTATCACGCATCAGCGAGGTGACCTTGGGCATACTACTTAACTTCTCTGGACCACTTTTCTCATAAGATTGTTTAAGGACTAAGTAACAGATACCCTTTTCCTTTCCTCAAGACTTGTTTTAGCACAATCCTCCTAATCAGACTGGTCCCAAGCCCAGCTTCTCTAGAGACCAACCCATGGCCCAAGCATGCTGGTCCCAGGGTAGGTCACTACTAAACAGGTCAACTTTGTACGCACCCAGGACTTTCAAGATGCTGCCTTTCCAAAGGCCAGAATTATTTTTCAGGATCAGGAGGGTGGCCTTTTAGGAACTCACACAAACTCTTGAGATTCTTTTGATGGGCAGAGCCTGCACTTGAACTTCCCAACCTCTCTCTAAAAAGCTTACGATGATCTTTTCTTCTCTTCTACTCATTGATAGATAATATTTCTGAAGGTCAGCCCTGGAATATTTAAACTGTTTGATTAATGCTACCTATAAGAATACAAAGGAGCTCTGGTAGCATAGTACCTAAGGCACTTGACTGCTAACCAGAAGGTTGGTGGTTCAAACCCACCACCACTCCTCAGAAGGAAGATGGGGCAATCTACTTCCGTAGTGATACCACCTCAGAAACCCAAGGAAGGGTTGCTATGAGTTGGGTCTGACTCGATGGCACACAACAACAACAACATAATGCAAAAGAAAAAAAAAAACAAACCAAACTCACTGCTGTTGAGTCAGATCCAACTCATAGCAACCCCTCCTTGGGTTTCCCAGGTGATATCACTACAGAAGTAGATTGCCCACTCTTCCTTCTGAGGAGTGGCTGGTGGGTTTGAATTGCCAGTCAAATGCCTTAGGCACTATGCCACCAGAGCTCCCCCTGTAAGAACAGTAGCTGCAAAAATCTCTATTCCCCACCTTAGTATTTTATAGGAATTTTAATTCTTATTAAAACATGAACGTTCACACTTTAATGTACTCTCTAAATCTCAGTAAATCCATCTCCCAGTGTACAGCATGGCTCCACATGAATTTCCCTTCCAATTGCTTATCATCTATCTGTTATTACTAGGTCCATTTCTGGGCTTTTGATTCTGTTCCTCTGACCCATATTTCCATTTTCAGGCTGGTCCTGAAAAATCAGAGGCCTGCTATTACCCTTCTCTATTGTCAGCAGCCACATCCATCCTGTACTTCTCAAGTTTATTTATCCTGGAATCATCTTCACTAAATCCCTATTCTTTACTCCCCATGTATGTTATAGCATCTAGCCAGGGACTCCACTGTATAAGGTTTTAGATATGTACCTCTCCCTTCTGGCTGTTCTAATCCAAACCTTAATCATTTTACAGGAAGATAGCAGCAATAATCTCCTTGGCTGGCCTCCCCCTCTCAGACCTATTCCACTTACGGCAAAAGAACCTTCTCAATCGGGTATTATTTTGAATAGAGCAATAATTTTTAATTCCGGTTAAGCCAAATAGACTTGAAGACACTCTTCTATTAATGCCCATCTAATGGCCTTCTTTTTCACCACTCTGGATCCAGGATCAGCAATACAGCCAATTATGTTTTTCCTTATCACTTGTATAATCCCCAGTCTCTAGTTCTGGATTCTGGAGGCCACATGCTCTCAACCGTTACAGGACACAATACTTAAGAACACGGGCAGTGGGGTCAGATAGCCAAGGGCAGAATCCCAGTTCTATTACTTACTCATTGTGAATCTCAGGCAGTATATTATCTCCTAACAAGAACCCAGTGCCTAGCACATAGCGGGTGGTCCATAAGTTGAATCAAGGAACAAATATGTATTCTTATCCATAAGATTATGGGAAACACTAGTGAAAGGCAATTCAACTTACCTTTAAATCTGAGTTGGCTGCAAATTTCTGTCCAATTAAAGCCGCATTTCCTCCTACATAATGCTGTAAGATAGTTCAAGGCTATTAGGTAGTATTTTAGCATAACTATATAACCCAAGCTTAATAGTTTTTAAATTTAGTAAAAAAAAATTATAGTCCATTTCTTCCCAAAAAGGTTTTGAGGTGACTCGACAACAAAAGACACAGAGATGAGGTTAATAAAATATAAAATAGACAATGAGTAACAAGGAAAGGTAAAGAAAATAAATATGTTAACCACAAAGATGTTAGCAACACCATGATAAACAGAGAAAAGACTGAAGTTGCCAAGGATTTCATTTTACTTGGATCCATAATCAACATCCATGGAAGCACCAGTCAAGAAATCAAACAACATACTGCATTGGGCAAAAGTACTGCAAGAGATCTTTTTACAGTGTAAAAAAAGTACCTTGAAGACTAAGGTGCATCTGACCCAAGCCATGGTATTTTCTGTTGCCTCATATGCATGTGAAAACTGGACAATGAATAAAGAAGTCTGAAGAATTGATGGATTTCAATAATGGTGTTGGCAAAGAATATAAAACATACCATGGACTGCTGAAGAATAAACAAATATGTCTTGGAAGAAGTACAGCCAGAATGTACCTTAGAAGCAAGGATGATGAGACTTTGTCTCATGTACTTTGGACATGTTATCAGGAGGGAACAGTCCCTGGAGAAGGAGCGCATGCTTGGTAAAGAAGAGGGTCAGTGAAAAAGAGGAAGACCCTCAGTGAGCTGGATCAACACAGTGGCTACAGCAATGGGCTCTGAGAGAGCAATGACTGTGAGGATGATGTAGGACTAGGCAGTGTTGCTTTCTTTAGTACAAAGGGTCATTATGAGTTGGAACCAACTGGATGGCACCTAACCACTTCCTCCTCCACCATCACCACCACCATGAAGATCAGTCACAAGTGACATGAGAGCCTATGCAGCAGCAGGCACGCTGGTGAGGGAGGAGGAGCCACAGCTAGGTCTCTTTTCCTAGCACTGCCTCTCATCAGAAGGTATACTGGACCATGCTAGCCTCAAAGCTTTATGATCATTAGGTGGGCCTGAAGATCCCTAAGGTTCTCTCTAGTTTTTTAAATTTCTATCCTATAGACCAGCAGTTTTCAAAATGAGACCCTCAGACCAACAGCATCAATGTTGTAAGGAAACTTGTTAGAAAGGTAAATTCTTAGGTACCATCCCACGTCTAGGGAGTTTTGGTGGCACAGTGCCTAAGGCATTTGACTCCTAACCAGAAGACTGGAGGTTCAAATCTACCAGCCGCTCCTCGGAAGGAAGATTGGGCAATCTACTTCCATAGAAATACTGCCTAAGAAACCCAAGGAGGGGACGTTATAAGTCAAACTGACTCAATGGTAGTGAGTTTGCTTTGTTTTTTTTTGATCCCACATCTAATCAATCAGCAGCTTTGGGCATGGGACCCAGCAATTTATGTTTCAATAATCCCTATATATACTCAAGTTTAAGAACCACTGATCTAGATCACTGGTGATTTTAATCCCCCTCTCCTGCCCCTTGAAAATATCTGACAATGTCTGGAGACATTTTTGGCTGTTACAACTTAGGGAAAGAAGGCTGCTACTGGCATCTAATGGGTAGAGGCCAAAGATGCTGCTAAAATACTACTACAATGAACAGGGCAGCCCTTACAACAAACAATTACTCACTTCAAAACATCAATAGTACCCCTGATGAGAAATCCTGCCCTGGACCAATGGAGGAAGACAAGGACCTACCTCACTATTTCCCATGCAAAGAGTAGATCTAGTTCTTTGTGGGTTTGGCCGTTTTCATGCCTAGAAAGGACTCAGCCATCTTAAGATAACTGCAAATTATCAGCCAGAAGCAATACAATCCAGACAAGTTAGGAGCAGATATCCTTTCTACCTTAAGTTTGGATAACATGCAAAAAAGGGTAATTTACTATATAAACCAGAACCAAATTTTTAGTAAATATGCTTCATAAATGTTGGCTGAATTTTACTAGAAATAGTAGAGTTAATGGAAGGTCAGATATGTAGTTTTACAAAAAGTGAAAACATTGCAGAACGGATTTCTAATAATCACATTCTTGGAGCAAACTAGGAGAAAAAGTTGCTTGGTTGCTTCTAGGAACCATATGTGAGAAAGGCACCTCTTTGCACCCTATCTTAATTTACTACAGGTAGTTCATAGAGTATGAATGAGATCTTGCTCCCAACTGTGTCTCTAAGTCATATACATATGTAGGTAAGTTGGAATAGGTGCATACAGTTCTTATTTAGCCTTACTGTAGTGCAAGACTTCTAATTACTTGGTTCTACAATATATACCAATGGAAGTAGCAGTAAAGATATCAGATGATGTACTGCATTGAGAAAATCTGCTGCAAAAGATCTCTTTCAGGTGCTGAAGACTAAAGGTATCTCCTTGAAGACTAAGGTACACCTGACACAAGCCATGGTATTTACAATTGCCTCATATGCATGTAATAGCTGGATAATGAATAAGGAAGACTGAAGAAGGGTAGATGCTTTTGAGTTGTGGTGTTGGTGAAGAATGCTGAAAGAACCATGGACTGCTAAAAGAACTAACAAATTTGTCCTAGAAGAACTGCAGTCAGAATGTTCCTTGGAAGCAAGAATGGCCAGACTTCATCTTACCTACTTTGGTCATGTTGTAAAAAGAGACCATCCCCTGGAGAAGGTTATTATGCTTGGTAAAGTAGAGAGTCAACAGAAAAAGGGAAGGCCCTCAACAAGATGGACTGAGACAGTGACTACAAAGATGGGCTCAGGTATAGCAAGGACTGTGGAGCTGGCACAGGAGCAGGCAGTGTTTCATTCTGCTGTACATAAGGTCGCTGAGTCGGAGACGGCACTTAACAACAACAGTAGTGCAAGAAAAGTCTCAAAGGCTTTTCAATGATTTAAAAGCTGCACATGCAGCAAGTGAAGGTGACTTGATGCACAATTTGTTGCAAGCAGGGTTTGGTTCAATCGTTTCAAAGTGAAGGAACATTTATATAACATTAAAGGAAAGTAGGAGATGTTGGTAAGTCTGGTGTTTGGAATCCTGGGACAGCCAGTACTGAACAAACAGACCTGGGCTCCTGGTAATTCTGATGCAACCTGGGCAATGTCATGAAAAGCTTCCTTATCGCTGAAGAAACGCTCAGCAGCTGCTCCCTTCTCCATGAAGTGAATGAAAGCTTCCTCTAGATCATTCCTTGAATGCAGTACGGTGTGATCCTTCCCATTCCCAGGACTCAGGCCCAGTGCCTGCAAGAGCTTCACCCCTGAAAGCACCACATCCACGCAGGCGTTGACTCTGGGGAAGAAGGAGCAGAGGCAGTGTGAGCGCAGCAGAGCACTGGGCGTTCACTCTGCACTCAACTATAGTGCATTCCCAGAATGGTGACTAAACAGAAAAACAGTTTACTGAATTGGAAAGTAAAGAGCACATGGCAGAGGCAGATTACTTTATCTAGGCAGTTATCTTGGGATCAGAACACAGACAGGAATCTTTTCGGTGGTTTGGCAAACCTTTCCACTTGTTACAAAGAAAGAAGACAGGTACTCAGCATTTCAGAACAGACCTGACATTGATAGCAAAAATGCAGCAGTTCAGAGAAAACGTTGGCGGAGCCAGAATCTGGATTCATACTGGCTGTTTCTGTGTCTCACTTTCCTCACCTATAACATGGGTGATGAGCAGAGCTGTCATAAAGATTAAATAAATACATACTTAGAACAGTGCTTGGTGCAGAGTAAGCAAAGTATAAATTTTGGTCAAAAGCCAAATATCAGACACCTGCCTTCCAAAGACAAATTAGGATGGTGGCAACATACATAAAATGCCTAAATACAGGCATACCTCAGAGATATCATGGGTTTGGTTCCAGACAACCGCAATAAAGCGAGTACTGCAATAAAGTGGGTCACGTGAATTTTCTGGTCTCCCAGCGCACAAGTCATGTTTACATGATACTGTAGTCTATTAAGTGTGCAATAGCATTATGAAATAGTTTGAAATATCGGGAGAATCACCAAAATGTGACAGAGACAAACTGAGAACATGCTGTTGGAAAAATGGTGCTGAGACTTCCTTGATTCAGGGTTGCCATCAATCTTCAATTTGTAAAAAATGCAGTATCTGCAAAGCACAATAAAGCAACACACAATAAAATGAGGTGTACCTGTAGTCACAGTTGAAACCCTGCATTTTAGAGTTGAGTGGTGCCTTAGACTTAGGCACATCGTGGCCTTGTTACAACTCACTTGGCAGGTGTTCACTGTACTGAACTTAAAGGGCTGGGTGGAAGCCAATGCTGCATCATTTTGTGGGCTCTAAGGAAGTTATACTGCTCTGCGGAAGCAACACTTCCGTAAAGATTCATAGCCTCAGAAACCCAATGGGAGTCACTATGAGGTAGAATCGACTTGATAGCAGTGAGTTTTTTTAATTTTTGGTTTAAGGAAATTATAAAGTACTAAGGATGTCCAATATGACCCTTTCTATGTGTGCATAGGGAAGTTCTGGCTTATATTTTCAGAACTTCTTTACTGAAAATCATCCCTTAAAAGAGGAGGGCCAAATAATTAAGGTAGCTAGATGGGGCCTTCCTGCTTCCTGCCACAGTCACCTTTATTCCTGTCTCTGTATTGGGTATGCCATTCTTAGCAATGGGCCTGGGCGGTCACACAGGCAACTCCTAGCCTTGAAGCAAAGCCCATGTGAGGCTCAGAGCAGGCTACCCTGATGATAAGGATTGCTGGGCTAACCCACTAATTGTAAGCAGCAAACTCAAAAGAAGGCTGATGGATTTTCATGTAAAATATACAGCTACTGCTTCCCTTCAAAAATTTCTTGGTCTGGAAATTGACATACCAAACCATTAATGGTGGCAAACTCTTGAGTAGAGGACTAAGACTGGGAAGGGGGGGAGAATTTTTTACTTTTTATTAGATATATTTCTAGTTTTCACAAGCATGAATTGCTTTTATGATTTTTATAACACAGTAACAACAACAACAAAAAGGGTTGATAGGTAGGTTAGGTATTATCTCCATCACTCACGGAAGGTTTACAAGGCAAGGCAGAGATGCACTCCTCTTTGTAACACATATTGATTACATCTTTGACATAAGGATCCTTTCATTATTTTTTCCCCTGGAGATCCCATGTTTTGAAAGATTTCTATCAAACAGCATTGAAAGCCTCAAGTTTTCTTATTCTTTTAAAATCAAGCACATATAATTGACAAACTGGACCCAATCAGCATGGGATAACAATCTGAAGTAAATATACTTCCACCCAAAAGTAAGGAATTGCCATGTGTTGGTTAGCCTGTGTGGCCTTGCTGTAGGTCAAGGTATAATTTCCATTAGGCATTCTGAAACATCAAAAACCAGCTTGTAACCCCATCATCTCCCTTAGGATTTCAGGAAGCATCCAGATTTCCCGACCTTTGCCTCATTATTCTGGTCAACTGCAAAAGGATGATCCAATGGATTCTCTACCTGTCAGTGTACAAAACATAGTGCCATGCATGTGGCTGGTGCTCAGAGGGGTTGAAAACACATTCCTTTTACTGGAATCCCTGGCTGTCTGAGTCTAATAGGCTCCCCAAGTTTCAGAGAGTGAGACTTGGATAACAGGGGATATAAATTCCTCCAAATGGCCCCATCTACAAAATGTATCCAAATTGATTTGGTTCTTGAATCTAGATAGCAAAAGTTCAGATACTGAGGGATAGCTGTATTTAGAAATAATGACTTCAAAAACTGTAAACACATCACCTCTTTTATCTAGTTCTGAGACCTTAAACTTAGTTTGATTCTTTAAAGATTTGGATAGGGGAAGTTGAGTTGGCAAAAATGACACACACCCACACTGAAGTGAAAGGATCAACGTTCAGCCTATTTTGCAAGACAAGACAAAATCTAACAATTAATTTTGAGTTAAAAAATGTAACTTTACAATTGCCTCCTTTGCCATGAGCCCAGAAGAAATGGATAGTGCCTGGCTACAATTACTGAACATTTTGGTCAAAGTGTCTATAGAAGAATCCTGATCAAAAGCGGGAAAATGCAGAAGACAATTTCAAATTCTCATGGAATCCAGATTTTCTGGATTCAAAAAGGCTGGATGAACTCCCAAAACTACTGCCAGGTGAAAATCTTTAAACCTTAAACAAAAAATATCCTTTGATGTCTTCTTAAACCCAAGCCATAGTTTAGCTCAACTGGTCAAGAATGTCTGCCTTGACAATTGTGCTCTTTTAAGATCTATCTATGGGCAAATTAACAACAGCAAATCAAAAGTCAGACAGGAATCTCAGGGGGCTGTGAGTTATGTTAATGGGGGAAGAACAACACGGGTGACAGTGCTCGCACAATCTGAAGGATATAATCAATGTCAATGAATTACACATGTAGAAACTGTTGAACCATTGTATGTTCACGTTGTATATTTTCAACAAAATTAAAATATTTAAATAAATAAATAAATATATAACTTTAACCATAGAAATATCTTTAATCCCCTACCTACATCTGTCAAGAATATTATGGGGAAAACAGTTTTACAGAAGAAAATGATTTTATTTGATAACTTTCCTACAATAAAAATATCACTGAACATCTACTATATGTCAGATACCAAAGTAAGTACTTTTACAAGTCCATTCCCATTATATTTTATACTTTATTACTTTTAACATTTTATTGTGCTTTAGATGAAAATTTACATAGCAAATTAGCTTTCCAATCAAAAGTTCATACACAAATTGTTCCATGACATTGGCTGCAATCCTCAGAATGCTTCACCTCTCTATTTCCTCCCTGGGTCCACCGTTTCTGTTCACCCAGTTTTCCTGTCCCTCCCTGTCTACTCATCTTTGGTTTTAGGCAAATGTTGCCCCTTTGGTCGTGTGTAAGTTGCTTGTTCTAAGGAGCAAATTCTTCCCTCCAGTAGTGTCTTCAGTTTCAAGTCAGAAGGCTATCTCAGGGCAAAAGTCTTGGGGGTTCATCTAGTAAATTTGATCTTTTTTTTTTTTTTTAATTTGAATTTTGTTCTACATTTTTTTACTTATTCTAACCTGGACCCTTCTATTGTGTTCTTGGTCAGAGTGGTTGGTATATATTTTATAATACTTTAACCACAGCCAAGAGTCTTTCTCTGTACTTAACAGCTTCTCAAAATATAAACAAGCATAATACCTAAGGTACTTTATTATTAGTTAATGGGAAATAAAGGGAGAGGAGGAGGTAAAAGAACCAGAAGACAAAATCATGCTCATCTAATACATACACAAAAGTTTACAACTTTAGTAGAAATGTATAAATGATTACAGTCTGATTTTGGAGAAAACCCAGACACAGATGAAACAAGTGGAAAACAGAACAAAGCAACAGATGCTGAATGTCAAAAACAGAGGCTCTGGGGGCCAGCAGAGAGGGCACTGGGAGCCCTAGTTTCCAATCTGCTGTCAGAGATTGGGGCAGAGGAGCACCAGTCTCCATTCTAGATTGTAAGCTCCTTAAAGGCAAAGATGGTGTTTCTTGCCACCTCCTTTTGGTCTCATCTATAAAACATTGTCTAAGGTCCTTTCTAGCTTAAATGGTATGTGTCTCAGATTTTACAACTGCTAAGCACTGAAGGAAGGAGGTCTGGTGGCACAGTGCCTAAGGCATTTGACTGCTAATCAGAAGGTTGGTGGTTCAAACCCACCAGCCACTCTGTGGAAGGAAGACAGGGCAATCTACTTCCATAAAGATCTAGCACCTCGGAAACCCAATGGGGGTTGCTATAAGTTGGAATTGACTTGATGGCAGTGGGTTTGGTTTGGTTTTCTATTAATCACTGAGGGCAGCTGTGGTTCAGTGGTAGAATTCTCATCTTCCATTCAAGAGACCTGAGCTCAACTCCCAGCCAGTGCACCTCATATGCAGCCATCACTCGTCTATCAGTCTATCAGTGGAGGCTTCTGTGTTACTGTGATGCTGAACAGGTTTCAGCAGAACTTCCAGACTAAGATGGACTAGGAAGAAAGGCCTTGCAATCTATTTTTGAAAAATAAACCAGTGACAACCCTATGGATCACAGCAGTCCAATTCTGCTGTGCATAGGGTTGCCAAGAGAGTTAAGGGCCCTTAAAGGCAGCTAACAATCATCATCATCATCATCAGTGGAGAACACAGAACTGTAGAGAAGAACAATTAAAAAATGTTCTGAACCCTGGATGAGGCATCTGGACAGAGAAAGATGGCCAACATTTATGAAGTACCACATGCTGGACAGGCATTTTTAGATAAGCTACATCAATTCATCACTGCTTTCAGCAGAGAAAGTGAGCGCGAGAATCAACGAATATCCCAAAGCCACAGAATTATTGACTTGAAGGAGCCTATATTCAAACCCAGATTTCCCTCATACTGAAGTCCAAGCAAAGATGTGAATGAAGGATCTGGACAGTGTAAGAACGTGGATCTAGGAAGGACAGAGAATTTCAACAGGGAAGAGCAAGACAGGTTTTAAAGGTGAGGGTGAAGTCAGTTATAGGAGGACCAAAAGGATGAGGGGCTTAACCATGTACCCAATGAACAATAGGTACTGTGGTTGGATTTAAAGCAGAGGAGGTGTTTTAGAAAGTTACGGCAGTAGCCTCACCACTGACCATCTTCGTAGAACTCTCCTTATCCCTTACTTCCTTGATCCTCTTTCCACCAGCCCCTTCAATGCTGGTGTCTCCCAGAGTTCCACGTTTGCCATCTTTACCTTCTCCTCTTGTTCTCTTCTTGGGCAATCTGATCTTTCTCTGGCTTCAATCTAAGTGCTGACAGCTCCAAAAATTTGCTTCTTTGCTCCAGAATATGTTCCTAAACACCAGTCTCTTTTGAGGTGCAGTTTCATTTAAATCCCACAAGAATATACATCCTCCTTCTTCTGAACCAAACTAGTTATCTCCCTCCATAAACATATTCTTTCTAACTCTCTATTAATGGCAACAATGTAGCGTGAATGGAGGGAATGGGCTCAAGATGCATGTCTAGCATCTGAGAGCTGCCGAATCTTGGCCAAGTACTTAACATTTTCAAACCAAACCAAACCCACTACCACTCAGTTGATTCCAACTCACAGCAACTCTATAGGGCAGAGCACACCTGCCCCACAGGTTTCCAAGGCTGTTAAATCTTTATGGAAGCAGACTGCCTCATCTTTCTGAAACTCTTGGAGTGGCTGACAGGTTTGAACTTCCAACTTTTGGTTAGCAGCCCAATGCTTTAACCACTGTGCCACCAGACCTCCTTTAATGTTTCCAAGCCTTGGTTTACTCATCCGTGAAAACTGACAATACCTGTTATCTGCCTATTTCATGAGGTTTTTGTACATCATCACCCAACACTTTCATTACTCTACTATATCCAACCTGTCAACCAAATTTTCTCAAATCTCACCTCTTTATCAGGCTGTTTTCTCCCTTCACCCAGACCCTAACAATGACCTCTTAACCAATGTCAGGGTCTCAAAGATCTTTCTCCTTATATGAGACAAAGTAGAGAAAGAGAGAGACATATACAGAGAGAGAGAGAGAATGTATCAATGTGTGTGTAGTCTCTTGAGAAGGCAAGCTACAACCCACACCCTGAAACTGAGATTCTGGTACACGTACTGCACCTACTCCCATCCTGTCCCCTAGCAATCCCCATCTTTGGGTAACAAGAAATGTTACTAGTGGAAGCATGTTACCCAAGATGATGTGAAGCAGTAAAACAAGTTTGCACAACTGCTGAAAATCTACCCGTCAACTCCCATCAATTATTCTCAGCAAACAGCTTATCATCATTTACCTGCTTATAAACTTTAATGGCTTCTCCATCATTGACTTTGACATAAAAAGCCCTGTGCCATCTAGCCTAACTCTCCCTTTTCAACATCCTCTCTTGACACACTCTATTGTAAAAGCCTTGCTCTAAGCACAGGGACAACCTTCCATGTACTTTTTTACATCTGGTTCCCTCTGACTCATGTGTGGCTAGAGAAGTCCTAGTTCTTCTCTAGGGTCTGTCCCACACATGCCACTTTAGCAAAATATAGAGACAGCCACACTATTTTCCAGCCTGCATGCTCTTTTTATACTGTGATGTTGACATTCATACCATCAAGGTTCCCTCCCCTTAATACAAGGTGGACCTGGACTATGACAGAAGTGATGTTATGTGCTTCTAAGACAAGGTCATATTATAAGGCATTAAAGCTTCCACCTGGTCCTCTTGGGACATTCCCTCTCCTAAACCAATCACCCTGCCATAAGAAAGCTAAACAGCTACACTGAGAGGCTACATGTTAAGTATTTCAGCTAAAAGGCCTAGGTGAGGTCCTAGCTGACAGCCACAATCAACCTTCAAGATCACACTAGTTACAGCCACCATTCAACTGCAACTGCATGAATACTGGACTAGCTCAACCCAATCAAACCTCAAATAATGAAGAGTTAATAAAATGATTGTTACTTTAAGCCACTAAGTTTGGGGTGATTTGTTATGGAGCAATAGCACATGATGTGTGGATGGCGTTTTTCTGACAATACTCCTTCCTGGGAAGAACCAGTCATCCTTTTTTGGAATACCCTGTTCAGCAAAGCACTTTCCATAATGAGTATATTTGTTTCCAACAAATGAGGCAGGCACCTTGCTGCACCCACCTAGCCACAGACCTGATGTATATCATGTAGTTGATGAATATTTGTTGAATGAATGAGCATAAAGCAAGGGAAAACATTAAGAAGCAGATTTGGAACTGGGTGAAAAGGATCTGAACTCAAAAGAGGAAGTTAAAAGAGAGACATCTGAAGAACCAGTAAATGCACTGATATTGGGCAATCTACTTCCGTAGAGATTGCTGTTGTTCTTATCTGCCGTCGAGTAGGACCCAACTCATAGCAACCCCTCCTTGGGTTTCTGAGGCAGTATCACTACGGAAGTAGATTGCCCAATCTTCCTTCCGAGGAGTGGCTGGTGGGTTTGAACCGCCAGCCTTCTGGTTAGCAGTCAAGTGCCTTAGGCACTACGCTACCAGAGCTCCGCCTCCGAAACCCAAGGAGGGGTCTCTATGAGTCCCATGTCGTCCCCCCCCTCCCCGTAAACTTTGCTCTACTTTACCTCTCCTCCCTTCCCCACCCCCTAGTCCAAACATACAGATGATTTGGATATGGTGCCTTTGGGACGATGGCAAGATATTCCAGCAGAGCTGAGACAGGGACTGGAGTTAAGTGTGAAGGGAATAATCACATTCCCGTAGAGGAGTACAAAGGAAGGAGGCACTGCACTGTGATTTGGAAGCACTTTAAATATACAATGTCACTGAAGTCTAGGGAAGAAAGAGTTTCAAGAAGGGTGTATTCAATGCATGGAAGACTGCACAGAGATTGATAATATAAACTGGGGGAAAAAAAAGGCAGTTGAATTTGAAAATCAGTAGGTCACCAATGGGCTTTCAGAGGAGTTTCAATATAGTGGTGGGCTGTACGGCATCAATGAAGAGAAAGTGAGGTTGGAAAAAATAGTCAGTAGTTTAAGGCAGAAACTGCAAAAAGGCAGTCACCTGAGGATCAGGAGGGGTTCAAAGCTAGAACGATGAGGAGGCTCGAACATGAGTGGGATTTGCAAGAAGCCAGGACTAGTCCTACCGAGATGCGATAGGGGGCAGGGGGCGGGCGAGCGGAAGCAGCAGCCTGGTAAGTCTCGGCAGGAGTGACGAACGGGGATCGTCCCGGCTGTCCGACGCTGATAGCCTAGAAGGCACCGCTGACACCGGCGTGGAGGAGCCTACTAGGGACTCCTGGGAACCTGTATCTGTGCGGGCTCTAGCTCCCAAGCCGCCCACCCTAGTGCACCTGTATCTCCTGGGGAGGCCCACAGACTCCGGGCCAGCAGGCACTCACCCCACGGCCACGCGGCGCCAGCGCCGGGCCGGCCGCACGATGAGTGCGTCCCAGGCGGCCGCCAGCCGACCCTCGGGGGAGGCAGGTCCTGGGAGTGCGGGCGCGGACCCCAGCCGCAGCGAGCTCCACAGAGAGCGGAGCGCCGAGCCTGGTAGCTCCGGCTCTAGTAACAAGACGCAGCCCACGGCCAATGCCAGGAAACCCGCGTACGCGGAGCCACGCCACAGCGCCATGAGCTTAGGGGCACTGAAGCAGAGCCTTCAGGCTCTTTCCCCGGACCGCGCCTCTTCCGGGCTCGGCGCGCGTCAACGTCGACAGGCGCGTGACGCCACCTAAGCGCGCCACGGTCCCCCGATGGGCGGGGTGCTGGACTGGAAGCCTAAGGACAGTCTTTCTCAGTCCAAATCCCTGGCACTGGGGGGCGCGGTTCCACGATCTTGAAGAAGGTTGGACAAAGGCGGCAGTACCCGCAGGGCACTGCACCAGTTCCAGAATTCAAACCATACCCTAAAATAGAGAGGCAGGATATATTTGTTTTCTCAGTATGAGTCGGGGCCGACTCGAGGGCAAACAACAACAACAACAACAACAACAGTAAACCGAAACGCACTGATTATGAAGAAGCTGGCAGACTTCACATTAATATTTGAGTCACTCGGTGTTCCCATTTGAGCTGTGCCTGCAAGTGGTCCGAGGGACATCAGACACACTCCTCGTTTTGAAGTCCTTCCTTCCTCCTCTCTGTCCATTCTCCATCATTTATTAAGCTCGTTCTTTTCCAGGCCAGATGCTTGGCGCTCCTGGACCGCAGGAGAGATCAGCTCAGCAATGACAGCTGACTAATGACAGCAGTGATGCAGTGACACTCTGGGGCGCGTGAGACGGGGATTCTGCCCATTTGTAGTGTGGCCGAGACCCTTCAGACGCTAAGGGCCTATGCCAAGACTAAAGGAAACTCCACAGTGATTATCTTCGCCAGGTTGGCAATATACAACATACCTTAAAATAATCCTTTTGGGAACACTGGTCCTTTGAACTATCTAAGAAAAATGCAGAAATACACACAATCTTGTGTACAACGTAGGGAGGTTATGTTGTTGTGTGCCATGGGGTGAACCCTGGATTCTCCTATTCTGGGTGATGTCATTTAAACCCAGGCCCTGGCTTCCTTGTGACCCTTCTGTGTGTGAGTTGAGGGCCAGTGAAGTTAGACTTGGTGCCAGCTCATTCTTAGCAGCCACCATGCCCAGCCTGGTCTTGTTCCCTGGCCTGCTGCCATTTTCCAATTCTGCTATCTCCTGATCTTGGCTCTATGTCCAGTTTTCCACTCTGTCCCTGATGTTTGGACTTGGCAGTGAAACTTCATTTCCTTATCTTTGATATTGGGCATTAGGCTTTATTCCCTCCAGCTCCACCCTACCAACACTTCTCCATCCTGGTCATGTACCCTCCTGTAACTCACTCCACCCACTCCACCCAACCCATCTGACCACACTACACCTGGGCCCCTTAATTCCCTCTCTTTCAAAGGAAGTTTATACACAGTAAGAGATTTGGGCTACCATCAAAAAGAAAGAAGCCATGGTGCCAATGACATTTGTGTGGAGCCATGAAGCTGTAGGATTGCCTGTCCCTTTTTTCACCCTGGGGATATATGTCAATCGATTCTCAGAGAAACTGCTCTCTCCATGGCCCCTGCTGAGGGTCAAGTGGGCAGGATTCCTTACAACTCTGGAGGTGACCAAACAAGCACCTAACTCAAAAGCAGTGAGTCAGCTACTGCCCTGAATTCACATCTTTCTCCTGAGAATTTGAACCAAGAGTCAGAAGCCTATAGCTAGTTTTGGTTACGAACCAAACTGTTATCGTTGTTGCTACTGAGTTGGTTCAGACTCATGTTTACATTGTGTATAACGGAATGAAACTTTGCCTGGTCCTGCATTATTTTCATGATCATTGGTATGCTTGAGGCCATTGTTGCAGCTATTATGTCAAGCCATTGGCCCTTTCTAGACGACTTCTCCAAAATTAGTAGAAGTTTTGTCATCCTCCCTTCTAAGGAACATTCTGGTTGTATTTCAAAGTTGGGTAATGAAAAAGGAAGTTCAGATAGAACCAGTTAAATGTTTCCAAGGTGAGCAGAGGAAGCCCAACTGTAGGGATGCCATGGAGCAAACAGATCGAGAAAAGCTAAGGGAATGCTCCAGCAGCCCCAAACCAAAGTGGAGAGAGTGGCACCGGGGTCATAGCCCTTCCATGAGAGGCTGCTGAACTTCTAGCCCTTAGTACTTCATTCCTCTGCTTCCTGCTAGGCCTGCTAGAACTCAATTTAGTTAGAGACAAAATGGTGGTGTCTTGGTTCTCTAGTGCTGCTATAACAAATACCCCAAGTGGATGGCTTTAGCAAACAGGAATTTATTCTCTTCCAGTTTAGGAATCTAGAAGTCTGAATTCAGAGTGTCAGCTCTAGGGGCTGGGTGAAGGCTCCTCAACCTTAGGCTTCAGCTCTGTCTCTTGTTCCAGGCCTCCCAGAGCTGAAGGCATCTCCTAACTGAGGCAGCGGTAGGGTGCTGAGGTTCACAAAACCAAGGTCGGCAGGTAAAATGTCACAATCCCAAAATCAGCAGGCAACATGGCAGGCTACTGGTTCAAGCCCAGGAACTGGAGATGAAGACTTAGTCAAATGCAGGATCCAAAATGTGCCAAAAAGCTAGGGACCTTTCTCAAAGTTTTGCCATATGTACTAGAAGCAGGCCACACCCCAAAGGCAACTACTGCTTAGCTGCTCACAGCAGATTCCATCACGGAGGTGATTATAGTCTTGTCAGAGGGTATAACTACATCCAACTACCAAGCACTCAAAACTACTGCCCAGCCAAGTTACACGCAACTTTAACAACTACAAGTGGCTTGAACAAAATTGAAGTTCATGTCTCATGTATAGTAAGCCAAACAGGGTGCTGCCACACTGCAGTCTGCAGTAGTGAGTTTGGCCCCATCTGGTTCTCATGATGGCTGCTTTGAGCCCCAGCTAGTTGGGCACTCAGTGTGGGTTTACATTGTGGGTGGTGGTAGGGCCAGACAAGGAGCCATGAGTGGGTCTTAGTTCCAACTGGGATCTGAAGAGGCAGGCTCTGCCAGGACTGGCAACTATCACTACTGTTCTTCACTTCCTGCAGCTCCTCCCCCTTCAGTACTGGTCACATCCATACCACAGTGGCCTACTTCCTTCTCCCTTCTCATCAGGGGTGCAGGCCAGGCATTCAGCCTTCTTGTTGCTATAAAATCCCATTGCCATCAAGTTGATTCTGACCCATAGTGACCCTATAGCATAGAATAGAATTGTTCCATAGGGTTTCTAAGGCTGTATTCTTTACAGAAGCAGCCTGCCACATCTTCCTCCTGTAAAGCAGCTGGTGGGTTCAAACTGCTGACCTTTCAGTTAGTAGCTGAGTGCTTTAGCCACTGCACCACCAAGGATTCTCTTGGTACTAGAAAAACCAGAATCACTGCTATCAAGTCAATTCTGACTCATAGCAACACCCATTGGGTTTCCAAGGCGATAAATCTTTATGGAAGTTGACTGCCTCATCTTTCTTCCATGGAGCAACTGGGAGATTTGAACCATTGACCTTTTGGTTAGCAGCCAAATACCTTAACCACTACACAACCAGAGCTCCTTTCTTGGGTATATCTCTATATATCCAAATTCACTGCCATCAAGTAGATTCCAACTTGTAGTGACCCCACTGGATTTCCGAGACTGTAAAGCTTTACGGAAGTAGATTGCCCCATCTTCTTTGCATAGAGCAGCTGGTGGGTTTGAACCACTGACCTGGTTAGCAGCCAAATGCCTTATCCACTATACCACCAGAGCTCTGTTTCTTGGTACTATAAAAAAAAACCAAGCCCACTGCCGTCAAGCTGGATCCAACTCATAGCCACCTCTCCTTGGGTTTCCAAAGTGGTATCAATATGGAAGTAGATTGCCCAACCTTCCTTCCAAGGGGTGGCTGGTGGGTTTGAACTGCCAGCCTTTTGGTTAGCAGTCAAATGACTTAGGCACTACACTACCTCTTAAAATATTTCCTTACTGAAAAATAATAATTTCAGATTCCCATCATCTGTTTAGAGAGTCTCAAGTGCTTACAAACCAAAACCCACTGCCAGTGAGTCGATCCTGTCTCATAGTGACCCCCACTGGGTTTCTGAGGTGGTATATCTTTACAGAAGGAGATTGCCCACTCTTGCTTCTGTGGAGTGGCTGGTGGGTTTGAACCACAAACCTGGTTAGCAGGCAGTTACCAGAGCTCCTTCAAATGCTTACAGGCCAATTCTTTTTCTAGAAGTTTGATTGCTGTGGGCATTATACAGAATAGACCTGAGCGGGTAGCTGTGGCTCCATTGTCTGGGCTGAACAAAAAGAAAAGGACTGGGTGTATCTCAAGACTCCCCCGCCCCAACACACACCATTACCACCCAAATTGCTTCCAAACATGGCCTTTTCTATTGGTTCTCTCCTAGGTCCTTGAAATGAGAGAAAAAAAGCTATCCAGTTCCAGAAAACTCAGAGGCAGTGGAGGCTCCAGATGTCCTACCCAAGATCCTGACTTGGAAGGCCAATGAACAGATCCCATATTTATTCAAGGAGCCAGCAGAATCCTATCTGTTCCCAAATTAGCCTAAGGCTCTGGCTTTGACATAAAACACCAGTTAACACCAACCATGTGATCTGAGGGGTTTTTAAAAAGCAAGTTGTTCCCACATTGGAGCAGAAACTCAAGCAGGACCAAGCAGTCCTTATGAAAGCTGGGCTAACCCAGCTTTCCTGCAGCTCCAAGCCTCTGGGATTTCATCCAAGCTGCTCTCTGAAGGCTACACTGTGTCAAACCATTTGCTGATGCCAGGGGACACAGCCCACCACAGGCTCTGCCCAAAGGCCACAGTCAAGAGTCATTTTTGAAGGTTATAGAAAACTTCAAGGACACAAAACCAAACCAAATCAAACCCACTGCTGTCAAGTCGATTCCAACTCATAGTGACCCTATAGGGGAAAGTAGAACTGCCCCATAGGATTTCCAAGGCTGTAAACCTTTACAGAAGCAGACTGCCTCATCTTTCTCCCTCAAAGTAGCTGGTGGGTTCAAACCATTGACCTTTTGGTTAGCGGCCAAATGTTTTAACCACTGCACCACCAGGGCTCCTTAAGGGGACAAAAGAAAAGGAATAAAGG